CGATAAGGAAACTCCAACTACAGAAATAGGCCGAAGGTTTTGACAGCATGGCGTCCTTCGCCAGCGCCCTCTCTAACTCTCAAACACCAGGAAGCTCTAGCAAAGCTAATCACTATTTCATTGTATTCCTCTTTGGCGGTCTTTGGAATTGTTAATGAATAATAAATATTATTACGGGAATAATAAACCACTTAATATTTTGGAGGCCTCGCTACCTTCGGCGTCATATATACATACATAAACAATTATTGCTGCCTAAATAGACGAAGAAGAAGCCACCGGTTCAATAATTAGGCAACAACGCAATAAGGAACGGTTTAAGTCGATAGAGATCCCAATCGATTGTTCCGTATAATCTATTATCAATCCACCATCTTGGATATATCAAAACGCCTTATAACCTTAACTGGCGGCCAGATGGTTAAACGCCTTATAACCTTAAGATGGCGGCCAAAAATCTTTGTTGGTATAAAAATTTCAATGAAACTTGGCTAAAGTCTTCTTCTTGATCCCTAATAGTTTTATATATATAATATACTTCACTAAAAAGTACTTTCTTAACAAGATGGCAGCTGAAAGAAATGTATCGTATAGACTGTAGGGCCTGAACGGATGCACCAATATTAATGAAACTTGGCTTTTAATTTATCTATATTTAACATCATAACGTCGCTGAATAGAATCTGGAAAAATATTAGGAGGGATTATAAAATTAGATTTCCAAATAACTCTTAAAGTATACACTTTGTTGTGATTTTCATAATCAGTTGTTTTAGAGATATTTAAATGCTCTAAAAAACAAAAAAAAAGTTTCATCGAAAATAAATTACTATTAGTAAATATATCCCGGTATTTTTGCATGTTTTCGATCTTCGCACAGAAGATAAGCTCTTTGGTATGGATAAAGTAGATAAAGGTTAACGGAGATTGATCAATCGAACTGAATGATAGCGTGTGTCAACTGATTATAAGTATTGGCAAATTGGCAAAAAATAATTTTAAATTTCATTTATTTGATCAAAAAGCAAGCGATATAGCTCATTTCATTAATACATCTACTATATATATTAATACTTATAGCTGGACATAGGCAAAATACAGTCAGCGACTTAAAAAAAAAAATATTGTTTTTTAAAAAAATATATTGTGTCCTGAATTGTAATATTTCTGAATAATAGTGAGTGATAAAAAAATATTATAATAATATATTAATTGAAATTTAAGACTGTATTATCCAGAGGTGCCCTGGATCTTCCACCCCCAAAATCGATGGCGCAAGAACCTAACTCCTTCCAAAATATTTTATTGCTTACCTTTTCTTAAAAATATAGCAAGTTAAGATAGAATTAGAAAAATCGTTGATCATATACAATTACACTTGCTGTGGTATGTTACATGCTTATCCCTTGTCCGAAAATTCATAACTCCGTCGAAATTTGCCCCCCTCAAAAAACCAGTCAAAATAAGCTCCTCTCAAAAATTTTTATGGCGCAACTTGCGGCATGAAACCTCCTTCTGAGCACCCGTGGTATTATCTAAAAATAGTACAAGTAAATTTGAAATTGTAATATGATATGTACGACTCAAGAGAAACTACCCATTGGTACTAGTCCAATTATAGATCCCCATCTTCTTTTAAGACGCCTAGGAGGATTGCCCGGAATCGAAGAGGTTTTGATGGATTGAGGAATTGAAGAGGAAGTGGGTTTGGATATGCCTGAAGTTTACTATAGAAGAATAGGTAATCTGTATTGGTCTAAGTCGGTAACATATGGGATATTAAGGTCATTATGGATAATGTTATTTATGAAAAAGTAGGGAACTGTTATTTATGAACTGGGAACTGATTTTAGACTGTAAGGATTCAATACGATAAGAATTTGCTGGTTATGTGAAGCCTTAAAACTCCTTTCAAAAGTCCAAATTGGCCTTATTTTAACGTAAATGAGGCCCTATTTTAAGTAAATGAGTCACATAAAAAGTAAAATAAATAGAAATTATATTTAATAAAGAAAATTGTGATGAAAAGTAGTCCAAGGGACTTAAACTACAATACGAAAAAATAATTTAAAAAAAATATATGAGATTAAAATTAAAAGCGAAAACGTGGAAATATTAACAAATTAATTATCTTCCGAATACATTAAAATCCATTATTAATAAGGTAAAAATGAGGATGAGATTTGGGAAATTGGTTTGACAAATGTGAAGATGGAACGCAAATATTGACCACCGAAGAAGAAAAAACATGCGACAAACGAGGACAAACGCAAACATCGGTCACTACACGTTCGACAACATTCGAAAATATTCCATCTACACAATTGGTCAACGATAAAACTAAAAAATAATTTAAAAATATAGGTGATTGAACATAAAATAACCATTTTCTGTACAGAAATGTATTTCTTAATATATGTTACTCAATAACCGGAGAAATTGTCATAAAGTTCGATTCAATATCACCAACGTATGTGACATCTTACGAAAACGATATGGCGGAATCAACACTGAAATGTAGTTTCAAAACGTTCCGAATACCCGACCTTACTGCTTCAAACCGCATTGCACAAACTTCAAATAAGATGGAACTGAAATAACATTTTTTCTGATGGCCAACTCGAGTTGGGATTAACCATTATTGGAAATTGTTAGTGTAACCTTAAGGTATAAATACTCTCGCTGCCTCCTAGATCGGACACTAGACATTGGTAGTTTAACCTTAAGGTATAAATACTTTGGGTGCCTCCTAGATCGGACACTAGATATAACTTGGCTCCTCGAGAAGGGGCAACGAACTCCCAGGCAGGAGCCTCTGTCTTCGGGTTATATCCGGCCAACGCATAACCTTCTTCCTCCTCAACCATTTTGAAAGAATAAAATATTCAAACATTGACAAAGGCAAATACGATATTAATTTATTGAAATAAATCCGTTGATTTTCAAGTCCAATTCTCTATAGACCTCTTATATCTCTGAGTACTCTACCACCACAATCTATTACTCCACTGACGACACTGGAATTGTTTCTTCCCAAACCAATCCAACTATACAGCACCAATCACCATTGAAAATTAAAATAACTAGAAGCATATCCATTCACGTTAGTTTCTCTCTAAGGAGAGCGGCATCCACAACTATTGACAATAACCCAGTGCCTTCAACATACTATTTACAATACCTCGAACTCTTGTTAGACAAAAGACTAACTTGGAACATTGATAAGAAATTAAAAAGACAAGAACTGACTAGACGATACAACCAACTCTCACATGTTCTGGACTACAGATCCTCACTTAACTTACAAAACAAGCTACTGATCAACAACACCATACTGAGACCATTTGGACATACGGAGCAGAACTTTGGGGTTCGGCAAATCCAAAACATACAAACAATATACAAACAAGTTGGTATATTTAAAATAACACTATAAATAACTATTTAAACATTCCAACAGTGATATCAACGACAAATACACTACATTTTATATCTCAAATCAAAATCACTCCGATTCACAAGTTCTTTCAATTCTCCTATCCCTGTTATATGCTTGAAGCAGATAAAAAAGACCAAAAGAACAACTCCATCAAAAATAATAAAGATGTAGCAAATGAAGCAAATTCGTAGTAAATAATCAGTGCATCACATTAACTATAGATGCACTACTGCGCGCATGTGGCAAACGGCGTAGAATATTAAAATAAATAAGAATTATTAGACCATATACATAATTTTTTTATTAAATTTTTCTGATTTATCCTTTTTATTATTCTCGGAAGATCTGAATTAATATCGTCCCTCCGAAGGAAGAATGACGCAACTATAAGATTTATGAAAAATGTTAAATTGTCACTAAGACGTATTTTGATCGAATCGACGACATAGAAAAATTTTATAATGGCACAATCACTTTTATTGATTATTTAATTTACGTAATAAAATCCTAATTATTTTACTTCTTTTTATAAAATTTAAGGTTTGAAATTACGTCATTTTTCATTGTTGTCCAAAATCGGTCTTGGTATTGCACTTTGCAAGACCAAGACAAAGACTGATAAAAAAAGATCGATTTTTTGAATAAAAATTAAGGCAAAACAGTTACTAATGCTTGACAATTTTAGTTACTATATGTAAATAATTGGTTTGGCCAATATACTTTTGCATTTAACTCTTCTAATTTTTCATTCGGGCTTAGTTAGGTTTCCTGTATCTAAAAAAAGATGTTAATATATCTAGAGTATTAAGCCGATATTTAACCGCAAGACCAAGACCTAGACCAAAACTGAGTTTGCAAGACCAAGACTCGGTTCTCGTATTTGGGCAACACCAGTTCCTCCGAAGGAAGAACGACGCTATCTTAAAATTCATAAAAAAATGTTAAACCACGTTAAATTATCAGAAAAACGTGTTTTGATCGAATCGACGCCATAGGAAAATTTTATAATGGCACAATCAATTTTATTGATTAATAAAATTTATATAATAAAAATCTTAATTATTTTACTTCTTTTTATAAAATTGATAATTTGTAGTTGTCGTCATTTTTCAGCCTAACGAGCGATAAATGATGTCAATTCGTGCTATAATTGCGTACAAAAACATTAATTTAATTAAATGCATAAGGTGATTAACCAAAAGCATAAATTACATTTACTTTCGTCCTGCTTGATTGTACAGGTCCCTACTGTGAGTCCCAGAAAATATAAATAAATAAAAAATATTTTTAGGGATATTAATCAAATATATTGGGGGGTTTATTAATATAATTAATCGCACTTGTTGCTCTGCGACGTATTAATATATTAGAGATAGATAGCACTTTAGCCTAAGCAATAAGAAGCCGCAAGCTAACAAACTGGACGACACGTGCTTACGGAACCTTGGATATCCTCGTTGAAAGGGAGCACCGTCCTTCGATGACCCAGCACACTTCCTGGTGCCGCTGACATTGACGACAGTCCTCTCTCTTCTCAGATAGGACGCAGAGGATGCGGAGGATGGAGGATTCGAGTGGTCGAGCCTTCGCCAGGACATCTTCAGGACATCATGGGTCGCCGGGTTTCGAATCCGAGCAGGAGGGTACTACCTTCCAATGGCCTAGCTTCCAAAGGACAGGTCCTTCGCCTTTCCTTCCTCTAAGGATACAAGGCCGGCAATCGTCCTACCAACCTCACAGCAACTCTAGAATATACCAACCACTATCGCCATAATAAAGGTTATATGGCGTTCGGTTTGTGGCCTTTCTTTAATTATAATTTGTTGTATATATGAATGTATGTGTTCTTTTTATTTATTTATTTTTAGGTTATTTTATTCTTATTTATTGTATATATATTATATTTCTGTATAATTTATTTTATTTATTGTACATATAGTGTGGAGGTGATCTCTGCACACTATTATAAATGTCCTTGAGACAGATCGTAATATTTTTCAATAAATAAGTTTTAAAAAAAAAATTATAATTTGTAATTTCCGGGAGCGCGCAAAATAACTAAACAAACTTTTTTTTTATCCACAAACTTTATTTTTAAACCAGGTAAACTATAATATTAATAATTATTATTAATGAACAAATGTGAACGTGCAACAGTCCACATAGCGCCCTCTAGCACACATGGCTAAATACCCCCTGCCATCCACACGTTAACCTACCGGTTCTCTGTTTATAAAGTTTTAAAATATTACAAAAAAACAATATAGATATCATAACTTTTATTTCAATCTCAAATTCTATCAACTGAAAATAAGAAATTCAGAAATATTTAAGCATCACAATTCTCTCACCGGTCCAAATATTTAATGCAAAAATTGATTTTCTAAGAGCTAAATCAGTCTTATTTAAAATATTAAAGTTAAGCAAGTTTATTTAAAACAAATATGTAGAAAGATGATACTGATGACTATATATATATATATATATATATATATATATATATTGAATATTTCTTTATTGAGTAATATTATTATATTATTCGTAATCAATTAAGGACATTAGTAATAGTGATAGCAAAATAATTAAAAAAAGCAAAACTGGTTCAGCTAGGCATTACCTTCAGCTAGGGCTCAAAAGATGTAAGATGAAATATTAAAGTAATATAAATGTCTACCCGATTCTTATCGGCCTCGTAAATGAGATATTCAATATTGCGCACGATTTCTTTTTGTAATATAAATTAAGGGCATTGCATAATTTGATATTATTATCATTTGAGTTAGATAATTTTCATAATTCGTTTGTAAAATTATTTAAATAGAATTCAAGTAAAAACAAATTCGAGTAGGTTTTTGTTAGCCTGAAGGTTGGTTTCAAGAAGGTCAAAATATGAACTTCCTCTTTGTGTAATAATCGACAAATAAATAACTCAAATTTATTATTATAATATGTAACATGTTTAAATGGTATTATTTCATCAAAACTGAATTCAAAATATAAGTATATTTTAAAAAAAAATATGATTAATTATATCGTGTATTACTGATTATATTTATGTGGTTTACAATTAGTTAAAAAATGAAGAGACGACTAAACGAAAAATGACGACCTATATATATTTTTTTTATTTATTAATATTATTATTATATTTTAAATATATTTGACTTACATGTTATTAAGAGTGGACTGTAAGAGACAAGACATTACACATGTCCGCTGTCGTGGCAGTCGATGAGGAACAGACTACTTCTACTGGCACCTGTAACGACAGTCGATAACAGAGAGTTGTACAGCACTACGGTTCTACTGCCACTGTCGACGAAGGACTGACTGTGCGTCCTTACCAGAGACTGGGAGAGGTCGACTGGCAAAGGCCTTCGTTCAGTGCCGCTAATACATCAGCCAGGCCACCGTAACGATAATGTATAAGGGAAAACTTTAAAATAACGAATATATATACACATCCTGATCTGTTTACTTTCACTTATCTATTATGAAATCTATAGTAAGTGAAAGTATTGCGATCGTGAAAAATTTCGAATCAGAGTTTTCAACAGAAATACACGTTTTGACATTCTCCGAATCCAAATAATCAAATCAATAAGTAACGTAAAATGGTCTGTGTATGTCACAGACGGATCTACGGAGGAGGGGGGGAGGGGAGGGAAAGCTTTCGAGCTGAAGGCTGAAGGAATATAAAAAATGATCTTTCAAACTATTATTCTTCATGTAATTACATTTAATAGGACTTCAAGAATCATTTAAACACCATTTCTTATAGGCATTTTTCCAATTAAGTAATATTAAAAAAAAAAAAAAAAAAGCGTTCGGGGTGAAGCTACCCTTTCCTCCCCCAAAATGAAATTCTGGATCCTCCAGTGGTGTATGTGTAAGTATATGAACATTATAGCTCAAAAACAAAAACTTGAACGAAATAGAAATTGCGTATTCAATGTATATATATATATATATATATATATTATATATATATATATATATATATATATATATATATATATATATGGGATGTTACAGTAATGTTTACGTCAAAATCGGCTAACCAGAAGTACCACTTTATATCATCCTTTTTACACATTTTCTGAATTTTCTCGAAAACTGCTCAAACGATTTTTATTAAATTCATTATCTTAGTCTAAAATTAAACGGATTTTAATCTTAGCTCTTATGTTTATTGATGCGTTTTAAACAGGACTGAAATATCTAAATTTAAAAATTACTTTCTCTAAAGAAATGCCCACAAGGAGGTTTCATGGGACAAACTGCACCATCAAAATGATTAAGGGGCAACATTTCAATACGGTTATGAATTTTCGAAATGAAAAGTTTGAAACCAGAGGATAAGGAGAAGCATTGGAACAGACCGTAAAAGGTGTAATTGTATGTGATCTAGGACATTTAAAGAAGACAAATTAATAAAATATCTTGGGATGGTGTTATGTTCAGAATGAAATATGGTATATCTTATTATTCATAATAATTTGAGAAAGAACATCATATTGACAAGGAATATGGCTAGTTTTTAGGTGTACGACAAATCGTTCAATGAAATTATAATACAGAAATACATTTTATTAGATAAACAAATTTTTTAAAAGTTCTCACTTATTATATGACTAAATAATGAGCGATCATTGTTGATCAAATTATCTTTGTTAATTGTTATTGTAGATGACTTGATAATGAGCTAATCAGCTCGAAACGTCGTTGGAAGAAGAATAAAAAATGTGAAAGTATAAGGGGTTATGGGTTATGTATTCCTTGAAGACACCATGTATAAAAACATTGAATGCCCTTGAAAAGTACTATTGTAGTAGCTGAAGAGACGCGTGATATTCTAATTTCTTTTAAAAAACAACCTTAATTTTCTCAAAAATGGTGCCAGATCGAATTGTTTGGACTTCAGATTCAAACTCACAAATGGAAATAAAATAATTAGAAAAAAATATCTCAAAGGAGAGAACATTTTATGAAGTGAAAAGTTCTTTAGGCGCGTTAAGCACGTTTTTAAGATAGTGAATTAGACAGAACCGTCAGATTTCCGATGAGTAACGCTGGGGTAAAGTCGACTGGAGTCAATTAAATTAAGTTTATTTTTGCATATGGATTAAAATATCTCAAAAACTAAAAGTCTGACTTGCGCATATTGTTAGTGAGAGAAACATTCATTATTCCATCCATAAAGAGCTATTATTCAAAATTGTATCTTAACGCGACGCCCTGTTAGAGCGGAAAAAACAGAAAAAATAGTTCCGAAAACCAAATAATAACGAGTAATATTGAAGACGGGGATTAAAATATCTCAAAAACTAAAAATCGGAACTACATATTGTTAGCGAGAGAAATAATCAGCATCTCATCCTCTTTGTAATGAGCTATTATTTATCATTTATATTTCATATTATTAACCTCGCCTTGTATTGTAAATGTTTTCACTTCTATCGTGTGGTCTAAAGCACAATTTTTTTCTTCTTTTTTTATAAGGAGTTTTTTTTTTTAATTGAAATTTACAACTATATTACATTACAAAAACAACAAGAAAATGTGACATTGGTAACATGACATGTACAACATGAAGAGAAACTACCCATTGGTAGAACTCAAATTAAAGTGGTCTCGAGACCATCTTCCTTTCAGACGCCTCGGAGTTTGATAAGGGTAATGGTATAGATTTAATTTATTTTCTTGTAATATTTCCAACAGTCAGTTTCTCGAGCCGGATTGTTACCCACCATTTCTTCCTTTCCCTGCTGTCCCGGAGGGGTTGGATAACCTCTCCCTCCCCCCTTTAGAGAGGCCCTTCGCCCCTCCCCCTCCCCCTGGGCAGGCCACGTGTCAAGGCCCTAGGCCCCACGTGTACACTATATCGTGGCCTTCACCCCCGCTGCAGCTCGACCACCAACGTAAGCTCGTCTCTTCTCTTCTACATTATATTTTGAGGGCTTTTAGTACACTCGAATTGCTAGTATTGGTATTGGTACTAGACTAGACGAAATAATGGTAACAATACAATGGTAGCAAATCGACAACTTGACATCTTAGGGGTAGAGCAAGGCGTTACCCTGAGACAAGACGTTAATACAGTCTAATTCAGAGGCAGAAAGAATTAATTTTAATGAAAAATAATAATTAAAAAGGAAAGAGATGGCCAGAGGTGGTGGTCGTAAATAGGCTAAATGGTGGCAAGACTACTTTATTAAAAGCCAACGTTTCGACCTGACTTTGCAGATCTTCTCCAGGGCTGGAACGGACGAAAAGATGCCACCGACGAACATTGTGGAAGTTACATAATATTTAGACAAAAAATTATAAACAATGTGAATAAGCTTATCAAAATTATAAACAGTAAATATATTAAAATATTAACAGAGTAAGCTAAGTAACGAGATCCTAAACTAAAGTAAATAGATGGTAACAATTGTAGTGTAATATACAATATATATGCAAATGTGAATATACTTCTACAGATCTACAGGAGAGATTGAAAAAAAAGGAAAAAGGATTTAATATAAAATAATAGACATAAAGGAATGTGGAGAAAGAAAGAAAAAAAATAAGTAAATAAAATTAGAAGTTAAAATAAAATAGAGACTTACAGGTGTGTTCAGCTAGCTAGGGAATTTCACTTAGAACTGGAAAATCAGAGTAAGGGTAGGTATTGGGGAATTTTCTGAGTTGTTTGGGTATTATTATGATAAATTTATCGAATTTAGTCACAAGACATGGAGGAGCAGGAATCATTACTAATCGATTATTATTATTTCTACAATACATCGAGGTCAAAATATACTTTATAATATTTTCTACTTGGATTAAGATATATCTTTTTACAGAAACTGTACGATAGGATTCGTAATCCCATATCATTGAGAGACAAGAATGTTTTATCAGGGCCAGAATCAGGAGAGAACCCCACCCACCATCAACAAAATTTTATATGTATATGTATATATATATATATATATATATATATATATATATATATATATATATATAAAACATTATGTCACATGGACAAGTAGATGCACACCATATTTACAGAAATTATAATTTTTACAATCTGTCTCAATTAAGGACAATTATAATAGAGAGCACATTCATACCATATTTACAAAAAATAGTAATCAGTAAATAAAACTACTTTGCCCGTGAAAATAATTAGCAAAGAATACTGGACAGTGAAACAATAATAAAATTAAATAAATCAAATTATTATAAGATAAAGGAATCATTTCCCAATTTTTCAGTTACTTTAATCGACCAAGGAAAAGATAAATATTATAAAAGTTCATTCATGTCCACGCTAAAAAATGTTTACGAATTAGAATTATTTTATTTGGAATTTAAGGAATAATCATGTATAAAATCAACAATCGACAAAAAATGTATACTTTTTGAGTTATTCGTAAATAACGTTTCTTTTCCATTATCACCTTTTTTTCTTGAAATTTCGGAGGATATGACTATTGTTTCCACTTGAAAAAGAATATCTTCAAAATGTGAGTTCAATCATCGGATTTGATGAAAAATTGACGAAGAAAGTATGTACAATAAATAAAAATAAAGTAACTTAAAAAAAAAAAAAAAAAAAAAAACAGACATACCTTTATACACTATAAATAAAATTATATTTAATTCCTATTCAGAACAAATCAAGTCTGATAAAGATAGAAGAGACTTTTATATCGAAACTTATCAGCTGATTAAATTTTGTATTTGCCGCTACCCAATAAATATTTTAATTTAGGAAACTTCGATCAGTTTTTGTTATTTCCCGTTTTGATTTTTCGTGCCTGAATTCTTTCAATTTAAAAATTAAATAAACTTTTAATTGGAATACTTTTTTTTTAAAATAATATTTCGTCTAAAATATTATTTTCACATTGAAGTTAATTATTAAATGACCAGATAGATTTTAAAGATAATTTAAAAATATAATCAGTATGATGTTAAAATATATCAGGTATGTTATAATAGAAATAAATTTAAAATACACTTCTATAAATTATCCATATTCCATTGATGGTTTTGTAAAGAGTTATTTGAGTAATGTTTATAATGGATGTGGATACCCCAAGGTGAGGTATTGTTCGAGAGAGTTAAATTATGTATTGATTGAGCTAAATAACAAATAGGCCACGAGGTTATCGGAGCGTCCTTCGCCAAAATTGGAATAACACAAACTTTTTTATCAGAGCCTCTTTAATTCTATCCAATATAGCGATAGGGAACAACACACAAAACCCTGCAAAGCGTTTAATAGATTCGATAACATATTATAAGAGAAAATCGATAAATATGAAAACTGATTTCGATTTATTAGCAATCCCTTAAATTTCTATTACTTCTAAGAGCTGTATTGAAAGCTATTAATAAATGAGAGTTCTTCTATTTACATTTATAAGAAAATCATATTGTAAAATTGGAAGAGTTTGTAATAGAAAAAAAAAATAGACAAACTGAAAACTGTAAGCCTGGAGATAGATGATAAGAAGGCATTATAAAGAGAAGACTAATTGCGGCTATATTTATGTAACCACTTAGCGATTAATATCTTTCTATATTATTTTCTGAATTTTTTTTTTTTGTTGCTACGCTAATTCTTCGTCAATCCTTCATCAAACCAAATGATTGAACCCTCATTTTGAAGACCTCTTTCACGTAGGAAATATGGTCGTCACATTTCCCTGTAATTTCAGGGAAAAATAACTTTACCAGCGAATAACCTGTTCATCGCACCCATGATTATTTGAAACATTACTAAATTCTTCACAAAATAAAAATCGATTATTATATTCGATCAAATGTAACGACCGAACGAGTAAATTTGGTTAATTTTTTTTTTTATAAGAAGGAACAGATTTGAGATTTATATTTTACACCTCGAAAAATCCTTAAATACGAATTTTCATAGCAATAGGAAAGTAATTTTTTTTCATCAAATTAGGACCTAGGATAATCCTTGGATTTTTTTTTCAAAAGTCACAAAAAGTTTGAAGAAAATTAGCAAGAATTTAGGGCCACATAGACTAACACGAAATGACACTAACCGAACTCCCATAAACGTATTAGAACTGGAGATATAAAATAAAAACGTATGGGGAGTTCTTTATTGATTTATTTATTCCTTAGGAAGTGTTAAATCAGAAATGTATGTATATGGTTTTAAAGAGAAATAATTCAGCTTTCCAACGGTTATTCTAACATTACATTAGGAGAAAATCCTATAGAGCTATGAATTTTGAGTGAACGGCAGGAAAAATAATTCAAATGAAAACTAATATGTCCACTATATATTCTCAAAAAATGTTTTTGTCAGTTCGCCATATCTTCATCAAATTCAATGATTGACCAATCATTTTGAATATCTTCTTCTTCAGATCCGAAAATAGTATAATAAAAATCGTAAAGACCTGTAAAATAACTGAATGACAATAGGGATTTGTTCACTGGGACAATACCTCAGCTAACTATATATATAAATCGGGTCTAGTATATAGTGGGCCGTACTCCTCCCTATATAGAGGGGAGGAGGGAGGAGGTTGCCATGGGGACGAGGAGGGCTGCCAGCTGCTCCATCCTTCGCTCGCCCGGTCAGATATAACCATATGTACTCCCTATATCACCTCCACGAGGAGATCTCAGCAGTATACTCCTCCCCTCTAGATCGTATAAATATATAAGAATTAAAGGGAGCTCAGTGGGTAAAACACTGACTTCCAAAGCTCAAAGTCCCAGGTTGAGATCTGACTGACAACAAGTAATTTTAAGGGTGGGCACCCAGCCTCTACCTGGCGGTTGAGCGTGATCTCTGCCTAATCACCACCCTACACAACTGATGACCTTAAAACATTAAGAGTATCCATGCACTTGTAACCTATATTTAATCATGCTAAGTAGTCAGCACAAATTTTGAATGAATAGTAAATAACCTGTTTGTGCCAACGTATTATTAGTTATAGTAAGGTTATGCTTATACTGTAAACAAAGTTTGTGAGTTCTTAATTGACGTCTACTAACGTTTTGATTTATTTTAAAAATGCCAAAGTGAATTGAAAAGACAGAGTTACTAGATTATTTGCTTAAAAATGCTTTATTAGAAAGCATGAATGAACATTCAGAAAGCAAAGAACTTGATGAAATCCAAGCTGTCTTTACATTTTTTTTTCAGTGGATCTTGTACAAAAACAAAGAAAAAAATTCAAAACCTTACAATAACCTTCTCCGTACGTTTACGAAGTTAGCAACACTTTACAGGGGTGCGTTAAGATCGAGAGTACTAGTGGCCATATTTAATAACACATTTTGTAAATAATTCTCTCGATTTCACACATTTAAGAGTTTTACAATACTTAGTACTGGTTGCATGATTACCTCCAGTACTTCTATACAGAACCCTCGACCGTTCATGAGTTGTAGTGGTACAGATTTTTTTTTCTTATATAACAATTTAAAAAAAAAAAACGTCTACTTCTACAAGTCTTATTACTGCTGTAAGAAGATGCTTAAAATAGTGATAATGAAATAAATGTCTGATATAGAACAGCTGATTGAACACAATACAACTAAGAGATCAGCTGATTGAACGTAACAGCTGGTGCGATTATTTTAACAAATTAAGCATCTCAAAAATATTCTTCTTAAAACATGGGCATTATATAGATAAAGGGTGGATATTGTCCGTGGTACAGACCAATTTTTATCAAATTATTAACATTTCACCATACTCTAAAAATCTTTTTATTTAAGAAAATTCTAGGAAATAGCGTTTTTAATCAGGAGATTGTTAAATTTTGTCTATTTAATGATTGCCGCCTGTTGTTTCGTAAGATAAGTAGATAACTCGAAAAAAAAAAAATGAAAAAAGGTGGCCTACAAAAATTGTCCGTTTCGTTATTTTCACATGTTGGGAGTGGACGACAGGCCAAACTGCTCAATATTTTTGTTAGCCACACTTGTTTTTGTTTTTTTAAATCACAAATTACGTTACGATTCAAGTGGGAAGCAAATGGGTATTCATGAGTTTTGAAGTATCTCATCGAATTAATCAGAAAACCTATCACTTCTGAGAATGTTCGTAGATAAAACTTTGTAGTTAGGATAAGATGCAACCATTCACGAAGTTTTAGACCGATGTAAATAATTTGATAAAACAACTGCAACATGGTGACAGCACTGTCAAGGCTGCACAAGGCTCATACTGGTAGTATATATCATAGCAACGGTATCCAAGGTAACTGTCGCCATTTTCCTTTTGCTAATTTAATAAGTGAACTGTTACATACTCAGCTGTGGTGACATTTTAAATAAATACATTTACAAAATACCTTGTGACTGATTGATATTTTATATTCTTTGTACAAAATCAAAAGGAACTTTTTTTATAAATATAACCTTTTTTGCTATACGAAGTGATTCAGAGTTAGATATAAACAATAATTACAAAAGAAAAGCTAATAAAAACTAAGAGAGGAGTGCGCTGCCAACGCCGCAATGCAGCGGCTCTTTATAGAACTGTTTCATTCCTAACCTCTTCAGATCAGGGCAGCATTGGCTAATTAACAACAAACAACCTCAACAGTTAACAAAAAACGTCGGCAAGAGCACAATACACGATCATTTTTGAATGACAGTCGCAAGACTGACAAGGATTGCTTCAATCATGATGCTTCCTACACGTATCAATCAGGCTGACGCCATTTTATCTCAGTTGACATTGAGATAACAGGCAATGTGGATCTGGTGCATTTTTCTTTAATAATAATGTGTTTTATAAAAAAAAAACTTATATGGCAATCATCCTTAATAGTATAGGACATCAAGAGAAAAATGGAGACTAATAATAATTTCTTCCTAGTGCCTGAAAATAATTTTGACATAACTTAAAAAAATATATGTAAACTACTTACAAAAGTTAAGGACAAATATTGCGAAAATAATAATTTATTGCCCGCTTGAATATTAAAAAAACAAAATACTTGAAGATAACTTATAAAAATATACACTAGGGGTATGAAAAACTATTTATTTTAAACTAGCTGATGTACCCATCGTTAACGAGTGCATAGTTAAATTTTGAGAATCATTTTTTTAAATTGATCTCGTATTATGGAGGAGATCCAAATTTAATTTCATAAAATTGGGTGGAGAGAGGGGGTTAATTTTAATTTTGAGGCGTTTTTTTCCGATTGCCGGCTAATCCGTTTGGTTAATCCTAAAAATGTATACGACAACATTTTTTAGGCTCGAGAAGTTGAATGGAATGACACCTTGAACGGGAAAATCGGACAAAGTTGAAAAATGAGTGTGTCTTACTGTGTTTTAAGCGACGCGTTACAGATGTTCGGGATATCGGATTTTTCCCGTTGAGTTGTGATAATTTTTTCAGTTGAATAGTACAACTTTTAATTGTGGATAAGAATTGAAGTAACTGCCTAACCGGAATCTGTAGACAAATTACTTAAAAATTCATAACTTTGGTTCTATTCAATATTTTGTTTTCATTTAAAGCCTATGCTTCAAGTCAAGCAAACCTAAATAGAATGTCAAAATTTCAAAAGTCAGCCATGAGCCATTGCTGAGCTTAGCCTTGACAAAATTTCATTGGACAATGCGGACATACAGACAGACAAAAAAATTTTTAAAAGTGGATTTGTTGCCTGGAATGTACGAAACGGAATGATATCATTAAACGGGTTGAATCTATCCAATGTACAGACAAAATCTTTATTTTATTTATATAAATTAAAATCAGGAATGTACAATGGTTATGAGGCCTAGGTAAACTAAGCTAAGTAGTAAAAAGGTTAGTCTCCCCACCACTTCTCATGATTGAAGCTTAGATTTCAAGATTTTCGAAAATCCATCAGTCCATCAATCTTAACCTTACAAGATCAATCATGATAACAATAGTGCCTTGAAATGTCATTCTGACTGACCGTGTAGGCTTTATTGTTCAGCGTTAAGTCAAGAAGGAGAAAATGTTTGAGCATATGAAAAGATCCGCTGAGCTACTCCAAGGTCCTCGAGTCACCGACGACCTTGGTTGGCAGTTTCTAAGCCAAGACTCCCACGAGAAGAAGAAAAAAAGGTGGACTCGAGATCGTATCCTTAACATATCATGTTGCTAACTGATCCTCGGCGAAGAAAGGAAGTTAGTTCTCAGTTACTTCTCTCAAACATAACGATCTGGACAGAAGAAGAAAGAGACAGAGCGAGAAGAGGTCGATGGACTCCAGTTGGAGGACTAGCTGTCTCTACCACGGCACTGTCGATGACCTCCAGGTTGGCCACCTCATATCGCCTCAGCTCTTGGTGATAACACTGTTCCAGGTTGGCCACCTTATATCTCCCCGGCTTCTGGTGATAAAAACCAAATGGAATCCAACAATAAACATCTCGGCTAAGATATCATCGGACGAAGCCACCACAAAACTCAATATAAAAACCTAAAACCTCATATTTTGATAGGAGGGGAGGATTAATTTTTTTTGTTTAATCCAAAAATAAGCCAAACATAACCACGATATATTTACTAATAGTGCTAGGAGATTTAAATACCTTTGAAACATCTGTTTATAAAAATCACGACAAAATTTTACATTTTGAGTTATTCGAAAATTTTACCAGCTATCGTAACTTTTCTACAGCTTCTTTTCGGAGGTATGTAACTTAGATAAATAAGGGTTTCGAAAGAGTACACTTTAACCGGTATATCAGTTTATATTCGAAATCGGTATATTAGTTTAAGCGCTACAGTCTATATAGTACATATTTTCTGTCAGCCATCTTGAAAGGAAAGTACTTTTCAGTGAAGTATGTTTTTATAGAAATAGGTACATTCGTTTAGGCTTTTTTTCAGAAGCATGTAAGTTAGATAAATAAGGGCTTTGAAAGATAACACTTTGATTAAGTTTCGTTGAAATCGGTATATTCGTTTAAGCGCTACAGTCTATATAGTCCATGTTTTCTGTCAGCCATCTTGAAAGGAAAGTACTTTTCGATGAAGTATGTTTTTCATGGAAATAGGTACATTTGTTTAGACGCTACAGTCTATAAACGACACAGGTTTTTAGGTAACCATCTTGAAAGGAAAGGGCGGATGACAATATCGAGTTATTTAGATCATACTCAGGTACGCTTTGACATTGATACCAAATCTCAAAACAATTAATCTAGCAGTCTCGTAGAAAAGCCGTGGACGGCGAACGAACTTTTTTTTTTTAATTTGATTTTCGGCTTTTACGTATCTTTAAACGTAAAATCTCTAATAGTGAAAGGTTTTTTTTTTTTTTGACGCGTGCTCTATGGACTGCTATCTGCAGTTATCTTGTTATTTAAAGAGTTGTTGTTGTTATTTATATTTCTTATTATTAAATTACCACTTCTTATTATTAAAAACTACTTATTATTAAATAATCCCTATCTTCCTTCATATGAAATTAGATTCTCGTATAATAAAAAATATAAATATATTTGGTGTTGTCTCTTTTTTGTCTGTATAAGAAACAGTTTAAATATAACGATTTAAAGATTACTGTAGATAGAGCAGTCCATAGAGACCGCGTAGCTCACAAGTACCTTTTTTTTGGTCGATTACAAATGTTGATTATTATGGAATGATAAACCAAAACTAAAGACCCTTAACTTAACACATTTCAACAGCCTAGTAGTGTGTATATGTATATGTGTATATATATATATATATATATATATTTACACACATACATACTCTAGGGTAACGTATTATAAGATATATACATATATTGAAGATAGAAACCAAGACACGTGCGTTAGACTGAACAGATAGTAGCGAGCTGCCTGTACGGACCTTGGGAACAGAGCTACCAGCCTTCTATATATACTCCTATCTCAGCATCGTCCCGAACGAACCGACTATATTCCGTCTTCATAGTTCTATCAGTCTTCTTCACTTATCGTTTTCTTGTAAGTAAATAATATACACAAAGGCTTAATCATTTAGAGCGATGATAGCGCTAAACTAGCATGGATCATGTTTGTTATGGAACTACTGGATAAATAAAATGAAATACCAATTGTAATATATAATAATAACTATAAAAAAAGGCGTACAATGGAACCTTCAATTCATATCCATGGTTAGTTCAAAGTAGCTAAAAGGTTGAAGATCTTAAAATCCGTTTCAAACAAACTGATTGTCTTAACGCTCTACAAACATTATGAAAAAAAGAAGAAAAAGTTTTTTATGTACTCGAGAAATAAAGTCTCCTGCTGAGAGAAGACTATCGTGGTACAAGATTATGAGAGGGTCCCAGGAGCTGGAAGAAGATTCTCCGGGAAGTTATACTGGAAGAGTGGAACCGACGATGGTTGACGACTCCAAAAGGGACAACCTTGAGAAAGTACTTTCCCACCTTCGGATCGCGGCTAGAAGCTATTCGGGTCTTCCTGGACAACTGGATCTCACAGATTCTCACGAGGCATGGGGGATCCCGAGTAAGTACAGTTTGGTGTAAATATAGATCCCCTATGACCAAGATGGACTAACCTATACCGCAGATGAGTCAGGGCGAATCTGTTGAGGGAGACAGGAGAGATAGATGTTCCTCAACTAATGTAGAAAAAAATTGTTCTACCAACCCAGAAAAGGAGGAGCTACGCCATTGATGAAAACCAGAAAAGAAAATAAAGAACTAAAAAAAAAAAAAGTGTGAAGCTAATGTAGAAAAAATTTAAATTGATTTAAAATGCAGCAGTAAGAACCTAACACTGTTGCAAATACCCGTTTAGAGGAAGGTCAGGGTGGAAAATAAACAAATAATCAACATCAACATTCGACAGTTGATAGTCGATAACTGCTGACGAAACACAACTCATTTTAAGATTGTTGCTAATGCCCTAAATACAGAAGGACAATAAGATAGGAGGTATCTAAAATACAATTTCAAATTAATTTTTTGAAGTATTTATATTTCTGGCCCAAATTATATTGTTCGCTTAGAATCTGGACAAACTCTTTTAAAAGGAAAATTTTTGAAGAAAATTATTAATTCTTTCAATGCTTGAAAACCGACTGACACGCAAATGTCTTGGCAGACTCATTAATTTAGATAAAAAAGAGAGAGACAGAGGTTTTAATTGGATCTTACAAATTAAAAAAAATAGTTGCAAATAATTATATTGAAGACGAACTTTTTGAAGAGCTAAAACCAAGTTACTTACTAATAAAGATATAATTATCGAAAAAGTAAAGAACCATATCTACTCTATAGACATTGATAGAGCTCTCGACTCTAAATACAACCCACTTTACAGAACTATTTGTACATTTAACCGGTCTCAGCCGCAAGAATATTTAACTTATCATGTAAATATAAATAAACTAAAAATCGTTAGCCAATTGAGAATTTAAGATACTGAAAAATTGAAACTTTTTCATAAGAATACTACTTGTATTATAAAAACATGGTGTCAATAGTAAAGGATGAATATATCTCCCAAAACTTAAAATACTTGTTTTATTGCAATGTCCCACAATGAGTATTGACAGAGAAAATTACCTAGGAAATTATATTGTTCAAAACAATAAACAATCATAATTAGAAAATCATCTAAATATCGATACTGCGGATAAACTAAATGTGATCTATCTCTTTTTGTTAAAAACTATATATATAGTATTAAGTATATACTTAAAGTAACAACGAATTCACATATGTTTTGTAACAAACCAATTACAACTTAATAAATACCAAAAACAGGAGCATGGTAAAGTGCGAGGCTTGAAACGTTAATTCATTATATTTTTAAATTATATTAACATATACACTTTTTTATGTTATTTTAGGAATAATTATTTAATTATCTATATAGTATTAGGAATAACTATTTAATTATTTATTAGAAATAAAAATTTAATTCCTTGTATTATTAAATTATATTAAGATGTTATAGTAAGCAATAGGAATTTACCAATGTATACGTATTTATATCTCCTTTCATTGTCATTCAGTACTAACAACAACTAATGACACCAAGTGGACCAAATTCCATGGCTAAAAGATGTATATATTAGCCAAAAACCTATCTATCTATCTTTCTATAAACCTTGGAAGTCAGTGCCTTACCACTGAGCTAACCCACTCCCTACAATAATACTATATAATTTTTTAATAAAATTATTTTTACTACTCTCAACAATATAAAACTCCAAGAAAAAGTCAAACAAATTGGTGTCCGCAACTTGACTATAATACCTATAGTCCATGGTACAGACCCCTTTTTATCAAATTATTAAGATTCCTCTGAAACTTCGTAAATAGCTTCATCTCATCGTAAACTACAACTATTATATTTATTCTGTTCATTTTTCTTTAAAATTAGTGTATTGAGGTTTTATATTTCACATAAATTTTCCTCGGATCTTTCCTATTCCAAACAATCAACACCAGACACCCTTCTTACATCTACAGTCTCCTACAGTTTAAACCCGTGGTCCACTCCCAGAAAACAAGATCCCGTGTTTCCGACCTTTATATCCCTTCCCATAGAACTAAGACGTTTGAATATTCCTTTATTTCCCTATCCACTGCCTTCTGGAATTCCTTGCCATCTGTAATCCGCCATGCCTCCTCCTTGTCCTCATTTAAATATCATCTTTACCAATTCCTTCTCACATCCCAAAATGACGTTATACAATAAAATAAATATTGCGAAACAGATTTTGACTGAGGTGAATGGTTGATAAAATTTATTGAGTCTTAATTTTAAAAATCAACCCATGCTTATTTTATTTTATTAATTTTTTTTTCATTTAAATAATGTTTTTTTTTTATTTCGTTTTTTCTCAAAATTTTATTTTATTTTTACTTGTTCTAATTTAACTTCACTGAAGATACTGTATATATTCTTTAATATTGATTAATGTAATTTTTATTTTTTTGTTCATATCTGTTATTCATAAGGGACTTTGTCCCAGAATAAAGTTTACTTTCTATCTATCTATCTATCTAAATTAGGCGAATATTCACCAACATTTTATTGATACGCTATTTAATTACGACGTTTCGACCATACTAAGGGCCATTTTCAAGTCTTAATGAGTCTTCCGTTAGATATTCATTATTAATGACGTATTAATTTGTCCAGTGAAAATTAAATTGTCCTGCTATTAAGGAGTTTCGTCTACGTCATTTCTGGAGGGACATGGTGGGAGAAAACTCTTGGAATTAGAGAGTTTTCAATTTGGAGACCTACAATCTTTGTCTATTTAATTATGTGGCCTACAGAAATATTGGGCCGTTTGGCAGTGTCACGCTAAACGGCTCAATATTTTTT